ATTATTACTATAAACCTTTGTGTGTGTGTGTGTGTGTGTGCGCGCGCGCATGTGTGTGTAAAACCAGTCTTAGGTTTTTAGTTGTCATTGTGCTGGTAACTCCAGACATAAACCACAGCCTGTGTTCCTATAGTACATCTCCATTTAAATGTCCCATGTTACTTCATCCAAGAGATTTTTCTTTCATATTAAATTGGTCCCCTTCCCAGTCATCTCATATTCACAAATGGTATTCTCTGTGTGTCTCTGAATAAAAACTTGAGTTGTTTTGACTACTTCTCCTTACCCCATTCTTCCCTGTTACCAAGTCCCGTGTTTTGCTCTTTCCCCACTTTCAAAGTGTGGCTCAAAATAATGCTTTCTCCAGTACAGTAGCATTACCTTAATTCAAACCCTTGTCACTTTATGCCTGCATTATTGCAATAACTAAGGGAAGTCCTGTGTAGATTCATTCTTTCTATCCTCAGCTGAGCCTCCACCTAGGAATTCCCTTATTTCCTCAAGTTAAAACGCAGTTGCATTCCCTAGAGGTTGGTCTAAACCTCCCTATTGTATTTATTCCTCCACTGTATTTATACTACCCTATAAATAGGTACCCTAGTCTTCTCTGCTCTTTTCTCAGTAGATGATGGCACCTACCACTGTACATTCTTCTGTTTATCATTTTGCAGTCTAACTTTTGTTCCAGCGGAATTTACTCTCAAAACTATTCATGTGCATTTACTGGTGTGATTTGGGAGCAGTTAAATTAAGCGTGTTGATTTTGATAGTTTTCTATGTTTATTAATTTTTGCTTGATAATTGTAGTTTCTAAGAGTTTCTAAGAGGTGTATTAAATATTATGATCATGAAATTGTCTAGTCTTCCTGTAATTGTTCCTTTTTTTTTTGCTTTATATACTGTATTTCAGTGCCTTGTTGTTAGGTGTATTCATAATTGGTCATGAGAATTATGTCATTGGAAAGAAACAATGCAGACCCATTACCGTAGTCTAGGCTTGTATAGCTTTGTCTTCTGCTTGACTATTGGGCCCGTTTTTCCACCATTTTCCCTGTTTTTTACTTACCTTCAACTTCCTGGTTGTTCTTCTAGTCTTGAGTAGACAGAGCTCATTACTGTCTCCAGTATATATTTTACTTTGTTCATTATGCACTTCTTTTAAGAACTTGCTGTTGTATTGGTTTCCATGACCCTGATTTTTTCAGGATATCTTTTCACCTGTGTTGTTTTGTTTTCTGGGAAGACTTCTTCTAACTCTGGATGTCAGTCAAGGCTCTACCCTTGTTCTTGGTTGCTTTTTCCTTTGTCTTGAATGCTTTTTCCCCAGATTTTCTTAACTTAATTCAGGTCTCCAGTAAAATGTCAAGTCAGTTCTTCTCTTGGTCATGTCAAGTAAAATAGCCCGTTTGCCCTGAGTTTTGGAAGTATCTTTTCATGGTAGTTTTTTGTTGCTGTTGTTTAAAGATTTATTTATTTGTAAGAGAGAGAGCAAGCCTGAGCACACATGCTTGAGAGCGGGGGAGGGGCAGAGAGAGGGGGAGAGAGAATCTCAAGTAGACTCCCAGCTCAGTGCAGATCTCACACTCTGAAATCAAGACCTGAGCTGAAACCAAGAGTCAGAAACTCAATGGACTGAGCCACCCAGGCACCCCCTTTCATGGTACTTTTAGTTGATTCTACTGAACCCCCTTGGGGTTCACCAGCTCTGACTAGTTTTCATTTGCTTAGGGTCTGTGCACCATTCAAGGCAATGTGACTGAAGAAGATCCAGGCTTGTGATTTCTCAACTATGGATTTACCACTATTGGGGTGGTTTTTTTATTGTAATAAAAACAAGTATTATAAAATTTACCTCTACCTAAAATTGTTTAAGTATGTGGTCTGTGGCATTAAGTACATTCACATTGTTGTAAAATAGATCTCCAGTACTTTTTCATCTTGTGGAACTGAAACTCTGTGCCCATTAAACAACCCCTTTTGCCCCATTCCCCCACCCCTAGAAACCACCATTCTGTTTTCTATAGCTATGATTTTGAATACTCTAGATACTTTATGTAAGTGGAATCATACAGTATTTGTCCTTTTGTGACTGGCTTATTTTACTTAAAATAATGTCCTCAGAATTCATCCCTGTTGTAACATGTGACAGGATTTCCATCCTTTTAAAGGCTGAATAATATTCCATTGTAGATAAATACCACATTTTGTTTATCTCTTTTTCTGTCCATGGACATTTGTTTCCACCTCTGCTATTGTGTGCTTCTATGGACACAGGTGTACAAGTACCTCTTGGAGACCCTGCTTTCAATTCCTTCGGATATATACCCAGAAGTAGGGTTGCTAGATCATATGGTATTTGTATTTTTAATATTTTGAGGAACCATAATACTATTTTCCGTAGCAGCTATTCCATTTTACAATCCCACCTACAGTGCACAAGGGTTCCAACTTCTCCACGTCTCTGCCAACGCTTGTTATTTTCTGTTTGTTTTTAATCATAGTCATCCTAATGAGTCTGAAGTGATATCTCATTTGGTTTTGATTTGCATTTCTCTGAGGATCAGTGATGTTGAGCATCTTTTCATATGCTTGTTGGCCATTTGTTTATCCTCTTTGGAGAAATGTCTGTCCAAGTTCTTTGCCCATTTTTTTAATTGGGTTATTTGGTTTTTTTGTTCTTGAGTTGTGGGAGTCCATTCTTGGTTTTGAGCATAGCTTTTTATTCCACAAGTACTATAATTGTATTTTATCAAATATTTCTGTGTTGGGGATTATGGGGCTTTTATGTTAATTCAGCTTATTCATTGACCATAAGTCTGAGGAATTCAGAAAAGCTGGGAAGGCAGATAGGTTGGTTTCTTTTCTCTCTGCCTCTCTGTAAAATTGGGTATTTTAAAATAATACGTTCACATGCGATTTAGAAAGATTTTAGTTCAGACTATAATCTGAACAGTCATGGTGGGTTCTGGGTTTCTATTTTTCTCAGTCCTGTCCTGTTTCATTCTGTCAGAGATTTGCTGGAATCCTCTTTTTAGTGTCATTCCTTTGCTTAAAATAACTCCATTGACAGTCTGATCTCCGATCTCCTTGGCAAGATTTGTAAGAGCCTTCATAATCTGGCCCAAAACCATCTTTGCAATATCATCTTCTACTTCTCCCTCATTATTCTCATTACTCTCTCGAGGTCTTGGCGTGAAACTAGACTGCTTGCAATTTTTGGTCATACTGTGTGTGCTTACTTAAATGCATTTTTGTCTTTGTGTTTATTTTTTTCCCCCACTATCTAAAATTCTCTCCTTTTCTCAACTTTCCACTTGAATTCCTTTTTAACTTTGTCCATTTTTTAGTGTCTTTTTATTTTTTGGACTTACCTGGATATCCACTCTCACCATTCGCATGACACCATCTGTTAAAATGTTTTAAACCATTTGCTTTTTCTTCTTTTTTGTTTGCTTTTTCTAATTATAAAAGTAATACCTGCTCATTGTAAAAAATACAATACAAAAGGAAAAAGAAAAAGCCCCTCTCCTTATTCTCTTTTGATCCCCTCCTTGGTTCACAAGAATAAACAAACTAGTGCTTACCCTTTCAGAATCTGTGTGTGTGTGTGTTTGTGTGTGCATGTGCATGTGTGTGTGCACGCGCCATATGTGGCCAGCCACGCATTTAAACTGCATGTATAGGTTTTGCTGTCTTTCGTTACCTAACATCTACCTGTTTACCTCTTTGTATCTCCACATGTGTATCGTGCATGTAGTATTGCAGCTGGCCTTTTTCACTGTAGTACATATAAAGGATATGCAGATCTAGTTTCCTTTAACTGCTACAGAATATTATATGGTAACCCATTCTGCTGTATGTATGTGCCATAATTTATTGAGCCATCCCTTGCTAGAAGACCTTTAGAGTTGTTTTTCATTGCTTTATTATTCCAAGCAGTGCATTAGGGAATGTGTATATATACTTTTGCACTCTTATACAAGTATTTCTGTAGGATTCTTAATAGAGTTTTAATAGTGGAATTGCTGATCAAAAAATATGTGCATTTAAAATTGTGATAGATAGGGGCGCCTGGGTGGCTCAGTCGTTAAGCGTCTGCCTTCGGCTCAGGTCGTGATCCCAGGGTCCTGGGATCGAGCCCCGCATCGGGCTCCCTCCTCGGCGGGAAGCCTGCTTCTCCCTCTCCCACTCCCCCTGCTTGTGTTCCCTCTCTCGCTGTGTCTCTCTCCGTCAAATAAATAAATAAAATCTTTAAAAAAAAATTGTGATAGATAGTAGATAGATAGTATTTAGTATTTAGTATTACTTACTGTCAAATAGCCCTATGTGTCCCATTTCTCCAGCCCATTATTAATACTGGATATTATCAACCATTTACATTTTTACCTACTGAAAAAACAAAATATGTTTTAGTTGGTATTTTTCTTTGATGTGGTGAAGGGTGTTTTCATAATTTTACTGTTTGTATTTCTTCATCTAATTCTCCATAAACTGGCCTGTTAATGTCCTTTGCCTATTTTTCCATTAGATTAATTTTTCTTATTATATTATGGTTATGAACCCCTTGTCTGTTAGATGTGGCACATAACTTCTTCTAGTCAGACTTCTTTGATTTAATAAACACAACTAGATAGTGAAATGTTTTTTTGCATGGCTATCTGTAGCTCTAGACTGAAAGTTCCTTCGTATCCTGTTTGTCTTTGTGGTCTCAGCATCCAGCACCATGTCTGTGTAGATTAAATATTCTGTAAATGGTTTGCAATAGACGAGGTAGTATAAGACTTGACTCTTTCAGAGAACTCAAAGTCTAGTGTCACATAAACTAATCCAGACTTTGACAAGGAAGAAAAACAACATAGTATCTAAATTGCATATTTAGTTATGTGTTGTAGGAAAACTTATGTATTTGGTAGCTTCTCTAAATTTGTTCTTAGAAACATCCTACTACTCACTTTCTTTTTTCACTGAATTCTGTACTGAAAAATAAATTGTTTTCTGTGAGCTTAAAAGTCAAATCTACATTATCCCTAATGGAAATACGTTATTCTGTCTTCTTTTGAGACAAGTTGCTTAGTTCAAGTAGAAATGTATTTTATCTTATACCCAGTTTCAATTTTACCTTGAATCCTAATGTTTTTTTTTTCTTGCGATTTCAGGTAAGACCATGAATTATGGCATTTCTTAAATGAAGCATTCAGGAATGAAGTGAAAATCATAACATATAGAAAATAAATGATTTTTAAGTTATGTCTATTAATTTGACTATAGATATATATTATATTTACCTCCTTAGTAATGCAAGAAGTCTTTGTGGGAAGCAGAGAAGCAAGCAACTGCATTTCTTATGCTCACCTAAACATTACTGGAGGATAAGCCACGTCAGTCTACAAAGAGGTTTTCATACAAGCAAAATAAGATGTAAATTGACCAAAAGTGAAGCCCATTCTTGCAGCAAGCACTGTTACTTTCCAAGCCACCATGGTTTACATATTGGAATTTTGAAACTTAGCACTTCTACTCCGAAGGGACTTACAAAAGTGAGCATTCGTATGTCCCGTATTAAAAGTACTTTGAACTCTGTTTCAAAGGCTGTTTTTGGCACTCAGAATGAAATGATCTCACGTTTAGCTCAATTTAAGCCAAGTTCTCGAATATTAAGAAAAGTATCAGATAGTGGCTGGTTAAAACAGACAGGCATTAAAGAAGCCATCAAATCTCTGAAAAAATACAGTGACAAATCAGTAGAAAAGGGTTCTTTTTCAGAAAGTCATATTCTAGATAAAGATGAAGATATAGGTAAACAAAGCCTTTTTCGTTACACAAGTAGTATAACCACAAGATTTGGAGAGTCATTCTACTTTTTATCAAAGCATATTAATTCATACTTCAAACGGGAGGAAAGAATGTCTCAAAAAAAGGAAAATAAACATTTCCAGGACAAACTTGAAGATAAAAAGATTGAAGAAGAGAAATCGAGCTCTCCAGATCCTGGCGTCCTGACTGATAAGCTAGATTCAGAATCTTCTTTATATTCTGTGGACAAGCCTGCAAGTGCCAGTGGGACACCTGAGGCTCTTCCACTTTCTACTAAACAAAGTATTGCTAACTTTCTTTCTCGTCCCACCGAAGGTGTCCAAGCTTTAGTAGGTGGTTATATTGGTGGACTTGTCCCCAAATTAAAGTATGATTCAAAGAGTCAGCCAGAAGAACAGGAAGAGGCTATTAAAGCTGAGCAACCCGTCAGCAAAGACAAAAATGCAGAGGAGAAGAAGCAGTTATCTCTTCAGCGAGAAAAGGCAAGTCTTATCAGTGTCGCTTGACATTTTAATTTTGGTCAAATGCATAAATTTCATTTCCCTATGGGACCTAAGAAACTTAATCACGTGTTGGTATTACTAGAGAAGTTTCACATTCTAATCATATACATTTTAATATGTCTTTGTAGATTATTGCAAGAGTGAGTATTGATAACAGAACTCGGGCATTAGTTCAGGCATTGAGAAGAACAGCTGACCCAAAGCTCTGCATTAACAGGGTTGAAGAATTGACTTTTCATCTTCTAGAATTTCCTGAAGGAAAAGGAGTGGCTGTCAAGGTAATTCTAATTTATTTAATCTGGTTTTGTCTTGGAATAAAAATACTAATACACTTTTTAAAATGGAGAAGGCAATACCTTTCATTTTTTTATTTAAATATTTTTATGGTTTTTATCATACACATGATGTGTCATAGAGTCAGTAATTGCCCCACTTATTCTGTTATATATATTATGCTAAATACTCTTTTATTCTGTGATGATAAATTATGCTATTGATACTGCTCTCTATACTTTGAGATTAAATGTTTTAAAATAGAAGATAAATCTCAGTGTGTTCATTGAATTGCTAAATAGTTGCCAAATTTTTCTTAAATGTGTTTATACTATATAACTACTTTTAAGACAGGAGGTGTAATTCATAAGTAAAACCATTGCTCATTTTTATTTCATGATCTTTTTGTATTTGCAAGTCAACATTTTAATGATCTTAATGATAATTGGATTGATAATTATATTAATAAAATGATTAGCTTTTCTTGGCCTCAGTTTTTTCAAATATAAAGTAGTGAAGGTAATTTAGACCCATTTAAATAGACTCTTTCCAGAGAAATACTATAAAACATGAATGATATGGTTGCATCTCTTTCCATCTGCACTAAGATTATTTGTAATATTTATCAACAAATTACAAATATATAATGAACAGATTATGTTAACATTTGATTAGAGATCTGTTAATGCTTGTTTTTAACTTGCCATTCAGAAAATTTTAAGTTAACTTAGTTCATATTTATTCCATTTTTTGACAACCATCTTGCTGAAGAGTTATGTCTTTAAGGTTGCCTTCTTTGTATAATTGTCTGTTGTATAATTGTTTGACTCATACATCATAAAGCTAAACTTTAGAATTTCATGTTCATAAAATTGGGAATTATCTTTCATAGATATTTAATCTCTTACCTAAAAGACAAATTTTCCAAAGGTAGATATGCTTTTAAGTCTATTTAACATTTCAGGGATATACTGAAAGCAGCGATCTAAAATAGAATTGCATACTTTAAAAAAATGTTTTATTGAAATATAATACAATTTGCAGTTATTGGAATCAAGTTCAATGAATTTTTCACTCTAAACGCATCCAAGTAACCAGCACCCAGATGAAGAACACAATTTACCAGCACTTCAGAAACCTCCCTTGTGCCCCCTTCAGTCACAATCTCCCCAAATTAGTTTAGATAGATTAGTTTTGGGGTTTTTTTTGTACAAACTACTGTGATGGGGTTTTTTCATTCATCATGTTGGTAGTAATCATTTACACTGTTGTGAGTAGTTATAGAACATTCATTCTTGTTGCTTTCATATTGCATGGTGTGAATGTATTACAATTTATTTATTTATTGTACTACTGATGAATTGTTGGGTACTTTCCAGTCTTAGTCTATTATGAATAGTCATGCTAGTAGAAACTTTAAGGGCACTTTTATTTTGCTTACTGATCACGTCTAAGGACCCTTCAATACCAAGGAGTAATGTGTTGTAGGAATGTATATTCCGATCAAGTATGATTGAAAATCTGCATAGTCTTTAAAAAGTTCTTATCATTTCCCTAAATAAGAAGCATCTCAAAAAGAATGAACTTGATAAATTAAGACTTGTTAACATGCACACTCTCATGTGAACTTTCCCAGTGAAGTTTTCATTATTCAAAAGAATTGAGCTTCTGAAAAATGCTAGAATTGTTTGTTTTAAAACATTTGTATGAATTTCACGTTTTTGTGAATCATATTTATGGTGGCCAAATCAGAATGAATTGTCTTTGATAGACTTGTTTCCTCCTGTGTATATATATGTATTTGATGTGCTACATTTATGGCAGCCACATCTAGGAAATTGCCTTTGATGATTTTTTTCATTGTTGGTGAAGGTAGTCTCCTTTCACTATTGTTAAATAAAGAAGTAACCTTTTATTATTAAAAAAAGAGCAGCATAAACTTTGTAAAAAATTTTTTAAAAATTTAAAAAATGAGAAAATAAGAATAACATATTTTTGCCCTCCAGAGATTACCACTGTAATGTATTAGTGTCTATTTGTATTAATCAGATTAAGCCGAGTTAATAAACAATACCAAAACCTCAGTGGCTTAACACAACAGGAGCTTATTTGTCCCTTGTGCAAAATCGCCTGGGGGTTTGGGTGACTCTCCAGGACAGTGAACCTCTGTGTGGTGGCTACTTTGATCTTGTTCTCGTATGTTTGCGTTCGAGGCCTCCGTGATCACTCTTAGTAGGGTAAGAGTTTTCAGCAGCAAGTGCCACAGGTTTCTTCTAGTTACGACTTACTTATCCTGTGCAATTGCGTTGGCCTGAGAAGTACTGTCTTCTTGTGCCTGGAAGGAGAAGCAAATTGGATATTGGTGAACATTAGTAATGTCTACCGTGGTATTTCTCTAGAAAATGTTCTATGCATATATATAATATACCAGAATAAAGTAATTCAATATGTACTGCTTTTTAGTCTGTTTTTTGTTTTTTTCAGTTTGTAATGTACACCTCTCTGTATCAGTAAATTGTCATCTCATCCTATACCCAAGTTGAAAATGTTCTTTGTGTAACTAATTGGGTCCAAATGAAGGTCCAGTCTAGACCATATTTATATATCATCTGGTTATTTCCCCTAAGTGACTTACAGCCCTGTTCCTCCTTATCCACAAAAGCTAATTGAAGAGACCAGGCTGGTTATCTTGTAGAATGCCTCACTTTGTGGATTTACGTGGCTTCCTCCTCATTGGTGTTATTTGATGTATTCCTTCTTCCTTTGTATTTGCCGAACACTGGAATATAAATATAAAGACTTGGTTGAGTTAAACATTTTTTGTTAGAGCACATTGTATATGATGCCACGTGCCTCATCTTCCATCATATCAGAACACGCATAATTGGTTGAAAAACCAAGGTTGACCACTGGATTAGGGAGATGACAGTCTGATCTTCTATTGGACATTTAGGTTAGAACCATAATCCCATCAGCCATTAACCTAATTGTTACCAGAACTAGTCATTTCATTAGGGTTGCAGAATGATAAATTTCTAATTCTGCCACTCCTTCTGCATTGTAATTGACATTCTTCTGTAAAAGTAGAGCTTTTCTTTACCAGCTAAAGCTATTTGGTTACTCAAAGACCAATTTCACAGGATAAGCAAGAAAAATGTTTAGTTTCCTTTTACTTAGTCACCAATTTTCAAAGTAAAGAGATGCTTGAAAAGCTGCCTCATTGGTGACATGAATTTTTTGGCATTTTTTTAAGCTATCATTATGAATTCCTAGTTTTTCATAAATTGTGTTTCTATAATTTTTTTCCTCCCCCCCTCTCTTTTTTTTGAATGCTGAATTCATCTCAACTTTGGTAGGGTCCCCAAGTTCATTTTGTGATTTTAACTTTTTATAAAAATACCATGGGCAGAAAAGTAAATGTAAGCACACAGCTCTGTGAATTTTCAAAAATTGAAAACATCTGTATAATCCTCACCCCTTTATGCCCCCTTCCAATCACTGTCTCCAAAGAGATTAGACCAGTTTTCCTGATTTTTAGCAGTCTAGATTAGTCATGCCTTTTTCTGCACATTCTACAAATGGAATGGTACAACTTGTGCTCTTTCATACCTGTTTTTTTCACTTGACATTATTTGTGAGAACCTTCAATGTGGGGTATGGTTATGAAGCATTCTCATTGTGGTGTATTCTGTGGTATGAATATGGGACAGTGTATCCATTTTACTGATGGACGTGTAGATAGTTTCCAGTCTGGGAGTATTTAGGAATAGTGCTTCCAGGACGTATCTTTTGGAAAACACAGGTCTTTATTTGTTTGGGAGTGTATACCCAAGAGTAGTGGTCCTGGTCATGAAGTATACCTATTTTCATCTTAAGTAGATACTGCCAAATGGTTTTGCAAAGTGTTTATACCAATTTATACTTTTCGCCAAAATTGTGTCGACCTTCTGGTGGGTTCTACTTTCTCCCCAACACTTTATCTTTTTTATTTCAGCCATTGTGTTGGATGGTTAGTGATACTAAATTGTGGCTTTAGTTTGCATTTCTCTGATAACTGTGAAGTTTAGCACCTTTTCCAGTGTTTATTGGCCATTTGTATACTTCCTTTGTGAAGTGCCTGTTCCAGGTCTTACTCATTTTTCCTTTGGGTTGACCAGCTTTTTCTTACTGATTTGGAGAATTTCTTTATATATTATGGATAAAAGTTTTTATATATATGGTGTATATTACATGTATATATTACGTATAATAGTAATATACAATAACTGTGTTTTTTGTAAATGTATTTTCCCACTCTTTGAGTTACCTTTTAACTCAGCTGGTTTCTCGGTCCTCCGTTTATAGCCCTTTGTCTGAACCAGTCCCAGTTATTCAGTCTTTACTTTCTTCCCCAAATAAGTAAATACCTCAGGGAAGAAAGGCTGTAGTTTATGAGATCACTTCTTTTTTTAAAAAAAGATTTTATTTATTTATTTGAGAGAGAGAGCATGAGCAGAGGGGAGAGGGAGAAGCAGGCTCCTCCCTGAGCAGGGAGCCCGACGTGGGACTCGATTCCAGCACCCTGGGATCATGACCTGAGCCAAAGGCAGACGCTTCACTGACTGAGCCACCCAGGTGCCCCTGAGCTCACTTCTTAGCAATTATCTCCTCTCCAGATTCTTAGCTCCTTCTGTCCTCATTGCTTCAGCAGCCCTCTTGTGCTTTTAAACAGATGGAACTTCTTTTGTCTTTTATTAAAGTTATCTAATTGTTCTTGGAAAGAGACTGTTCTAACCAGAAATGGAAATTTACAATCCCAAGCTCCACCCAACTGAAAAGGAATTTAGAACAATATTTTTTCAGATTTTATTTATCATAAAAAAGAAACAAATGAGTGATACATTGGGATTTTTTTTTTTTTTAATTTACTGAAGTTACATAGCACAAGTATAGCTGCTAGTCACCTATTCCCTTAAACCTGGGGTTCCAACCAGATAAGAGGCTTATGTGTACAGAACCTAGAGAATCTCTGGTAAACTCAGTATAGAACCCTGGGATTTAGGCTCTTGCCTCTGGTCGGCAATATGAAGTTAAACACTTAGAGTCTTGGAGTCCTAGTTTTGTTTAGACTATTTAAGGGGCGCCTGGGTGGCTCAGTCGTTAAGCGTCTGCCTTCGGCTCGGGTCATGGTCCCAGGTCCTGGGATCGAGCCCCACATTGGGCTCCCTGCTCAGCAGGAAGCCTGCTTCTCCCTCTCCCACTCTCCCTGCTTGTGTTCCCTCTCTCGCTGTGTCTCTCTCTGTCAGATAAACAAAATCTTTAAAAAAATAAATAAACTAACCATTTAAATGTAATGAATTTGAATCTGAATTATTTGTTGTAATGGTCAGCTTTTGCCTTCTACCTTAATTATATTTATTCACATTTGTTTATATTTCACTATGAGCTACCCTTATATCCCATGTGCACAAGATGGTTTGTTTTTCTTTTGATAAGTTTAATTTCCAGTAATTACTATGAAGAAGTTTGATCTTTAGGATTTGGAGAAAATAGCTTATACAATTTATAATGTTAACCTTTTGTTTTAACAATTAATACTTTGTAAATTTGTGTTAAGCGAATTATATTTTTTCTAATTATTAAGCATTGAATCTTTTAAAGAAAATATTTGGACTGAGGTTAATTTTTAACCTAGATATTAGAAGAAATCTAATTTAAATATTAATCGACATTACTGTGTTAAAAAGTAATGTTATTTAAGATATTGAGAAAGTAATAAACACTGGCACTGTGATTATATGTGATGATCTACATAGGTTGGTTAAAAATAATCATACATTTTCATTCTTGATTTGACAAAAGCAATAAAATATTTTTTCTCTCAATACAGGAGAAAATTATTCCGTATTTACTAAGATTGAGACAAATTAAGGATGAAACTCTTCAGGCTGCAGTTAGGGAAATTTTGGCCTTAATTGGCTATGTGGATCCAGTGAAAGGAAGAGGAATCCGAATTCTTACAATTGATGGTGGAGGAACAAGGTAAAGCTAGAAAAATGATTTTTTAAATCTAGAGATCCAGTTCAGCCTTAGAACTTTTTTAAACTGATTGTGTAATTATAGTAACTATATCATTGTAAAACCAAATTTTTAAAATAAAACATGAAATAGTTTTTCTTAATTTATTATTTTATCAATCTAAGAGCTTCTTTGTTGTTTTTTTTTTTTTTAAGATTAATTTAGAGCGAGAGTGAGCATGAGTGGGGGGAGGGGCAGAGGGAAAGAGAGAGAGAATCTCAAGAGGCGCCATGCTCAGTGCGGAGCCCAACACAGGGCTGGATCCCAGGACCCTGAGATCATGACGTGAGCAGAAATAGAGTCAGCAGCTTAACCAACTGAGCCATTCAAGGCACCCCAAGAGCTTCTTTAACATATACCTGAATTTGCTTTTATTTTAATTTGACCTAGTATTTATTTCAGTTTGGTCTTTTCAGACCTTTTTGTTAGTTTAGGACAGTGTATCAACCATGATTTAAAAAATGTTGGCAAAGTTTTGTAATGTTAGCTTTCTTTTATTATATTTATCTTACCCAGGTTTATCAGTCAGCTAGTCACTTAATAAAGTGATGGCTATAGGGGCGCCTGGGTGGCTCAGTCGGTTAAGCGTCTGCCTTCGGCTTAGGCCATGATCCCAGGGTCCTGGGATCGAGCCCCGCATCGGGCTCCCTGCTCAGTGGGGAGCCTGCTTCTCCCTCTCCTCCCCTCTCAGTGTTCTCACTGGCTATCTCTCTCTCTCAAATAAATAAATAAAATCTTTAAAAAAAAAAAAAAAAGTGATGGCTATAAAAGGAGTCTATATCAGTAACTTTCTGACTCCCCACATCCTCACCTGCAGATGCCAGTTCTGCTGCTACGCAGGAGATACTTAATGTATTCTTAGCTCAGAAGAAGGTAATTTCACCATCAGACTCCATTCTTACTGTCAGCAGTTCATCGGTGCTTCTTATTAGTTTGCCTAGTTCCTTACTGCTTGTTGGTTAGATCCTTTGGTGTTAACCTTTCCCCCCAGATTTTCTAGCTTGGGTTCTAGTTCCTGCCATCTCTAGTCTTACCTCTGAAATTGATAGTACATGCCATGCCTACTGTTCTTTGATTACTTTGCCTCTCTGATTTGTTCTGTGATAGACCTGCCTTGCCAGTTACCATTTTGTATGTCCAAGTACTACCCTTATCTTTTTGTTAAATTCTAAAGTCCTGTATGTCAGCCAGATTCTTTTAATTTTGACACCAACGTGAATAATGGGTGTGAGTGATGAAGGAAGAAGGCTGTTTAATAATCTAGGCAGAGGACAATAAAATAACAGCTTTGGGTGGTGGCAGTGGGAAGCAGGAGGAAGGAAAAATATGCAAGAAAACTTTGAAGAAAAGGGGGATTGGATACAGAAGGAGGTCAAGAGCGCTCTTAAATGTAGACCCCATGGATGCCTGGAACAGAATTGCAGGGAAATGGGAGGAGGTGATTGGTATTGAGAAAGACAGTTCTGTTTCAAACATGTTGAATATAAGACCTTACACATCAAATAGAAGTGCTAATTTGGCAAATGAAGATTGGGTTGATTGAGGAGAAAAGTCTTAGAAGATCTTTTGTGGGGTGCCTGGGTGGCTCAGTCAGTTAAGCGTCTGCCTTCGGCTCAGGTCATGATCCCAGGGTCCTGGGATTGAGCCCTGCATTGGGCTCCCTGCTCCGTGGAAAGCCTGCTTCTCCTTCTCCCACTCCCTCTGCTTGTGTTCCCTCTCTCACTGTCTCTCTCTGTCAAATAAATAAATAAAATCTTTGGGAAAAAAAATCTTTTGTATGTTTCTTATGGAAGTGAAATAATTCAAGAAGGTGAACATCATTTATATGATAGATAAAGGGGTCTAGATTGGATTTAAACCCCTACAGTGTTAATGTACTGGAGAGGATCATTCTAGTTCATAGAATTAGTTCAAAGGGATGGGAAGTAAGGAGAGTGGCAGTTTAATGAGTAAGGAATTTTACTGAGGAGCAGGAAGAAGCCAGTCCTCTCTGCCATTAAGATCAGGGCAGATAGAAAGGAATCAGGGCAGATAGAAAGGAATCATCTATAAATGTATAGAATCATTCATTGAGTCAGCTAACAGGTTTTGAGTGCCTACCATGTTCTTTACACTGATTTGGATCCAGGAATCAGTAAGCAAAACAGACAAAATCCAAGTCTTTATGGTACTAGCATTCCAGAGGAGGAAAGAGAACAAATAGAAAGCAAAAATGTATTTTTTGAATAGTAAGGGGTGCTATGAAGAAAAATAAAGCAAAGTGATAAAGAGTAACAATGCTATTTTAGAGAATGATCATGACTATGACTTCTTTTTTTTTCAATTTAAAAAAAATACTGAAATACCGACTTAACTATATTAACAACACAATGATTTGATACCTGTTTATTTTGCAAAATGATCACAGTCTAGTTAACATCTATCACCACACAGTTAATTTTTTTTTCTTGTGATGAGAGCATTTAAGATTAACTCTTTGAATAACTTTTAAATATGCAGTATAGCATTAGTAACTATGTTACCATGTTGTACCTTACATCCCGGGGACGTATTTATTGTATTATTTATTGCGTAACTGGATGTTTGTACCTTTTTTTTGAAAAAACATTTGAGTAGAGATCTGAAGGAACAGTCAAGAACATTCAGCTATCTATTTAGAGTGAGGGAGGTATGTTGAAAAGAGCTTTGGGACCAATAAGTATTTGATTTTAGAGAATAGGAGTTTTGTTAGTCATTCAGGGAGGAAATTGGAGTTGAAGACATTTGGGGAAATCTAACCGTGGGTTAGGATGAAGGGAGGTTTACATCAGCGGTTCTCCACTGGAGGCAGTTTTGCCACCTGGGGGACGTTTGTCAGTGTCTGGAGGCATTCTTAGTTGTTGCAGCTGGGGGACCACCACTTGCGTCTGGGGGAAGAGGGCAGTTGATGCTGAAACCCTACAATGCACTGGCTAGCCTGACAGCAAAGACTTGTCCAGCCCAAAATGTCACGTGTGCTGCTGCTGAGAAGCCTTGCTTGAGGGGGACATGAGAAGGCAGCCAGGATGGGAAGTTTGTGTGGAGAGGAGTAAGGTATGAGGGCTTGGGGGAAAAAGAACCCATACCTTTTATTTCTTTTGTATATGAGAGCCCCCTACAGTGTTAAGCAGAATCAACCTGGCAAGTGTATTTATTTCTAAGTTTGACCTGAATTAATTTATAAGTGCAGCATTTTAAAATAGTTTTCTTCCTGATTATACACATAAACTTGGAGGGGGAAAAAAAAAGAAAAATACATGAAGAAAAGCAAAACAAAAAATTATAGCTCACAATTTCCAGATTTTTAATATTTTGACTTATTTCTTTAAATCTTTTTTTCTTGCATGAGTATGTATGTGCATGTTTTATTTCTTTTTTATAAGATAATAGAGTCACATTGTTAAATATATTTATCTGGCATTATCTCTAATTCTTCATGTCTCACTTTGATTTCATAATGTATCTCTTTGATAAACCATATTCTTTTACCTCTCTTCAAATCCACATTACTTCTTAAAGTTAAAAAAAAAAATCAGCACTTTTGGTTTTCTACTTTAATGTTTAATTTTCTAGTGATTTCCTGTTAGCAGCGGTATCAAAGGACACTTTGACACTCTAGGTTGTATTTGGTGGTGCCTGACTATAGCCACTACCTCTCTGCCCCACATCTTGTATTGGATTTAGACCCTTTCATTGCTTCTGTATATCTCCCAGCATTAAGAATTGTCCACATGTTACACACATCCTGAATTAGCCTACACCTCCTGGCCCCTTTCATTTCCACATTCATCATCAAGCTCTTTGCTGCCTTTGGCAGGGATCCAGAAATGAGCAAAGTAAGCAGCATAAAGTAGTACATCCCTAATGAGGGGCATTGTCTTGAAGTTGTTGAAGGTTTTAAAAAATGAATAAATAAAAGAACTCTTAAAAGTATGACTAGCGAAATGCAGAAAACAAAAATGTATAGAAGCATAGGCAGCCAACTTACATTGCAGGGAGAGGAAACCAATATACGATGTTCCAAAACTGAGTGCAGGTTTTAAGTATTTCCCACAGTCTGGGGTGTTTAAAAAAAATACCTTCCGTTCGCATCTTTATAGTCTTACGCAAAGAGATACTAATATAAATGTAAAACATGGAGCGCCTCGGTGGCTCAGTCGTTAAGCATCTGCCGTCGGCTCAGGTCATGGTCCCAGGGTCCTGGGATCGAGCCCGCATCGGGTCTCTGCTCGACGGGAAGCCTGCTTCTCCCTGCCCCACTCCTCCTGCTTGTGTTCCCTCTCTCGCTGTCTCTCTCTCTCTGTCAAATAAATAAAATCTTTAAAAAAAAAAATAAATGTAAAACATGCTGCTATAACAGGTTTTCTACCATTATTTAGATATTGGAATTTTGGAAGTGATCTTACTACAGGCAGTTTTTACTGACGTTAATTTATATTATCAGTTTCCATGTTAGCATATAAGCTAGAAAAGCAACTTGTAGGCTTGTTTTATTCAAGATTTAATTTCCCTGAAACCGGGATTTTCATTTTTCCTTTTCTCTGTAGGGGTGTGGTTGCTCTTCAGACACTGCGAAAATTGGTTGAACTTACTCAGAAGCCAGTTCATCAGCTCTTTGATTACATCTGTGGTGTGAGCACAGGTAATTATTGTTATATGGAAGCCCTGTGTCCCCACAGTATGCATTTAAAATCATGGTCATTCTCTGAAGTGATGAATATTAGTTTTATATTTTGATGATTAATAATCCTTTGATTGGCTTAATGAACTTCATGAAATGTTTATTGGGAATAAGTTACCATTTGGAGATGGTGTTTTGTTTTTTTTTGTTTTTTTGAGAGAAAGAGAGTGCGAGAGCCTGTGCCTGTGCAAGTAGGGGTGAGGGGCAGAGAGAGAATCTTAAGTGGTCTCCATGCTCAGTATGGAGCCTGAGGCAGGGCTTTACCTCTTGACCCTGAGATCACGACCTGAGCTCTATCAAGAATTGGACGCTTAGCAGTTTCTTATCTGATTGTTTAAAGCCAGAATTTAAATTGATAAATGTGAGAATCTGTGTTTAAAAGCCTACTTCTTAATACAGCTAGATACATTTAAAATTGTAGTGTCATGTTTGTATAGAAGAAATTGGCAATTTAGAATACGATTGTTACTGAATAATTTTTTAGTTTTCCTTGAATCAGCATCTGATACATTTTTGTTCTGTTTTCTGTTTTTCTATTTCCTTACTTCAGCTCTGTCACCCATCCATCCATCCATCCAGGCCCACCCCATGTATGCATTAAGCCCCTCAGGATACCCATAGCTGTTGCTTATCCCCTAGGTAACACTCAGGGACTATCAGGAAACACTCAGGGACTATCAGGATTGTGAATCCTTGCTGTATATTTTACTGTGTGACCTGATAATTTCTCACTTCATGTTCATAAGCTTTCTTTTCTATTTCTTTTTCTCATTCTTTTAAATTAAAATAGTTCTAAAGACCACTAGCAATAAAATCAAATGATTTCTCTACCTTATCTCTGTTAAGTATGACAAATATACCCAAAGGGCATGTTAATTGATGTTCAGTTGTGAAAACTTACTGAGTGCAGTTAAAGGAATGATTCAAAAGCATAAGGAATTAGTGCTTCTTATAATGTTCCATGGAACACTAATTCCTCAAGATGTTAGGTTACAGGAAGTTGTTGGGTTAAAGGAAGTTATGCAGGTTTCTTTACAGAAGGACTTCTGAGATATTTTAGTATGTTAACAATGCATCGTGACTCTCAGGATAGGAAAATAATATTTATTTCCCAATTTGATTTAACTGTGGAAATGTTTCTTAAAAGAGACCTTTCCTATGGCTAATGTTTTTTTAGCACTTTTTTTGAAGCTTTTACCCAGACCATTTCTATTAAATTTTGTGGTGGTTCTTAGCAATTCACACATTTAAACAAGCTAACGTCCTGCTTTGGCACAAAAGAGAATTTTAAATCAGAGATTCATCCATGGAGTAGAGTATCAGTTTATGTAATACGCACATTTCTGTGTTTATCACAATATATCTTTTCCATTGTGTCTTCTGGCTTATGTTAACCTTAACTTCTAATACAGTGCTTATAATTTCCTTTCGTTTTTTCATTTTGTATATTCTAATGTAGAAATTTTGTTTGCACTTAGAGTTTTTATTAAGTTAATAGATTTAGTTTAAGGGTAATAATATCCTTGCCAGTTTAATAAAATTTAGTTTTAAAATATCTGCTCATCTTTATAATAGCTCTACTTAAAAGGCACTTAGTTTTTGGCAAGTTATTTCTTGTGTTAATTAGGGATTTTCTGCAAATTGAAAAAAGTAATTTCTATTATATAGTTAATGCAAGTCAATTTATTTTAAAACAAGCTGTTTTGTCTTTTACTAAAAAGAATAAGACCAAGTATGACAAAATACATACAATATTTGAAATACGTTACGATAATGAGTTCCTGTTTTTTCCTTGTTCGCAATCTCACAGTGATGTTGTGTTTGTCTTTGTCCCCATCCCCGAAGCTTTCTCCCCTACGTTCCTCCTTAGTTCAGGGTTAGGCCAGCTAGGTACACTAGGTGGCAGTGTGTCCTACCAAGTGCAGCCAGGACATGAACTCAGCTATTTAAAAGGATATCCCAGAGACCTAATTTCTTTACTTAGTTTAGTTCCCCGGACCAACTCAAAGGAGTAATTATTTTAATGAATTGGTAAGTTGTCAAATATACTGTATTCTGTGACTAAAACGAAGGAATTTATTAAGGTTAGAAAGAACGTCATTGACCATGATATCTTAATTATGTATTATTTGATGTACAGCAATCCTATATTTTAAAATTAATCTTCATATCACTGGTTAACATTTATTTAGTCCTTATTGAGGCCGGGTAAAGCCCTTTATATGTGTTACCCCTGTTACTATAAGAACATTATAAATTTTAGTTATCTTTTTTTTTAAGATTTTATTTATTTATTTGAGAGAGAGGGAGAGAGCACAAGCAGGGGGAGCGGCAGAGGGAGAAGCAGACTCCCGCTGAGTAGAGAGCCTGATGAGGGTCTCAGTCCCAGGACCCTGGGATCAAGACCTGAGCTGAAGGCAGATGCTTAACTGACTGAGCCACCCAGGTGCCCCAGTTTTAGTTATTATCTTAATAGATGAAAAAATTGGGGCTGTGAGTGGTTAAATAGTTGGTCCCAGATGGCACAGAAAGTATCAGAGCTAGAATTTTTTTTTTTTAATTTTTATTTATTTATTTGACAGAGAGAGACACAGTGAGAGAGGGAACACAAGCAGGGGGAGTGGAAGAGGGAGAAGCAGGCTTCCTGCTGAGCAGAGAGCCCGATGTGGGGCTCGATCCCAGGATCCCGGAACCATGACCTGAGCCGAAGGCAGGCGCTTAATGACTGAGCCACCCAGGCGCCCCTCAGAGCTAGAATTTTAACCAGGTCTGTGACTCAGGAAGAAGTACTGTAATGTCAACACTGATAAAAACTAAGCATTCTTTCTTTCAGGTGCTATATTAGCATTCATGTTGGGATTGTTTCATATGCCCTTGGATGAATGTGAGGAACTTTACCGAAAATTAGGATCTGATGTGTTTTCACAAAATGTCATTGTTGGAACAGTCAAAATGAGTTGGAGCCATGCATTTTATGATAGTCAAACATGGGAAAATATTCTTAAGTAAGTTATTATTTTTTTTTAAATGTTTGATTCTATAAATAATATGTGCGTATTATTTGAAAAATGAAAAAATTAAAAAGAATATTAAATTATTGATCCCAGTAATTAGAGATAACCACTGTTAATATTTTGGTGCATAATTCCAGTCACTATTTTTTTTTTTTAGTTCATTTGTGAGATTTGCATGTAGAAGTTACAATTGCCTTTTTAAAAATTGAGACCAGGTTATAAATGGACACGTGTTTTTTACAATCATTTGATATAATTTAATTTTCTTCCTTCAATAAAGGGATAGAATGGGATCCTCACTAATCCCCTACTTTTTCCCTACAAGTTATATTTTTTTTTCCCTACTTTTGCTGTACAACATACCTCCAGAACTTACTGGTTTAAAACAACCTGATTCTGTGGTGTAGTGTTTCTTCTGTTCTTGTTTAAACTCACTCACACACCACAGCTGAGGTGGCTGGGACACCGGTCTCTCTCTCCACATGGTCACTGTCATTCTGGACTTCATCTTGTTAGACTGGTCTGAGTTTCCAGAGGGCAAGCCCCATTGCATGAATAGTTATTAGGCCTCTTTAATGGCATGTTTGCTGAGGTCCCATTGGCCACAGCCACTCAAACATAGGGCCTGTAGGAAGGGACTCTTCACAAGGGTATGGATAGCAAGAAGTGTGATTCATTGGAGGGTCATTATTGTTATCCACCACATCTACTCTCTGGCCTTTTTTTGTCTTTTTTCCCCCTCTTATTTATTGAGAGCATATTTGTGCCTTTTTTTTTTTTTTTAACTGTGATAATGATTTTGTGTTATTTTAGGGACACTGTTTATCAGTGGAATCTAGCAGTTTTGAGGGCTTTTTTTTTTTTGGTATTTTCAGTTTCTCTGAAATAAGCAATTAATGTTCCTGACTTTCTCTTCAAATTTATATTCATAACGTACTGCACTAAAGCATTTTACCTCTGTTTATAAAATCAAGGCTTAAAAAAAATGTGAACTTTGCTTGAAGTGTAAAAGCAACATGCTGCCAGGGTCTCTGTCCCGATTTTACAGCAAGATGTCTGTGAAAAGATAAAGATCCTAAAAGAAACACAGATCAGGTTGGAAAGACAAAGATCTTGTCCACTTTAGAAAGTATTTTACATTGATATTTATGAAAGATTATAAAGGGTAGATCACCACCTAATTTGTACATATTACCTGTATGTGAAATTCACTAATACTCTATTTGAGAATCATGAATATTGTTTGAAAAAATGTCGTTAGAAACATGTTTTTTTCTTATTGAGGCAAGTTGGCAAAAAACATAGTCTTTATACCCAATACAGGGGAAAATATACATATTTTTAAGTCAGGAAAAAATCTGCTGTGAAATAAAACTCCTTTATAAAATGGAATTGTGGAAATCGCTGCCCAAGGACAAGATCTGTAATGTTGCAGTAATTCAGAGCCCAACTCGGATGATTTAAAAAGCATTTTGTAGGAGTGACATCGGCTCTGTATTGCTAGACCAAGTTTAAAGTCTAAATGTCCTGATCTGGTTTTTAGATTACTCTGTTACTAGTCTATATACTTCTGCAGTTTTATTTCAACACAGCTCCTTTATCCCTCAGGAGGACCCTGAAAACAGCCGGGTTATTCTGCCTCAGTGCCTTTTTTTACCCCTTAGTCGGGGTTGAATGTGTTCCCTTGTCATTTTTTGGTGTCCTTCTCAAGCTCCACCTCAACTATATATTGTTATATGTGCATTAATTGTACTATCAGGTGCCTGGAAGAGATTTTTATATTTCTTTTTTGTCGCTCATAGTACTTTGAACAAAGTCCTGAGCAAACAGTGTTTGCATATTTTATGTTCCCTGATGTTAGGAGATACGATCATTTTGATATAATTTAATTTTCCTCCTCTAATAAAGGGATAGAATGGGATCCTCACTAATGATTGAAACAGCAAGAAACCCTACATGTCCTAAGGTAAGTTTGGAGTCTTATAAATACCAACTTGGAATTGAAGGTTAGGCGAAAACACTTGTTCTAAAGGCCCATTACTAAGAGAAACATTT